AATAGTAGCTTTGTATAGAGGCATGATTTGTCTTTTCATTTTTTGGACATTCTGCATTTTGAATAAGTATGTATTATGAATTTTTATATACTTTTGTGTATTAAATATATACATTAGTATATGTACTCTAGGTTGATGATATTTTTATATATTTATCCCTTGACATTTGATTTTAAGTCAGTGGTTTACACGCTCATGTACTTATGAATTTCACTTTTATGAGGTATTTTTTATGCCAAGGTATTAGTTTCATTATAGATAGTTAATTTGGTGTTTTATTGATGAGGTGAACTAGTGATGCAGATGAAGCAATATTGATTAAGATGTAGATGGAGAAGGAGAGTTGATGACTTTATTTTAAGATACGTAGAATTTTGTGTGTTAGATATTTTTTTGCAATTTTTTTTGGTTCATTTTCATGTTTTTTAAAGCTCCTTTTAGGCATAGGGCAAGGTAGAATGAACCATATTTGCAGTGTAAGGAGATGGAATATAATTTCTCCTACTCAATGTTTTTTGTTTTGGGATGAAGAGAACGTTTTAATTCTTCATCTCGAGAGGCGATAGGCCCTTTTCACCGACTCGTGATAAAATGTTTCCCAAAAGACGAGTCAAACTCAGCTAACTGAGGGTCCCGTGTGAGTAATCATGGATTTCTATGTTTCAACAGTTGAAAGATTGATGGTCATCGTCCGGTGGACATAATACGCAGATTAAAGGTAAATTGAGCTCAGAGCATAAATGTGCAGACTTGATTCCCCCCCCCTCCCCTGGGTGTGGCCCACTCTCATGCACACTGGCTTGTACAGAATCCCATTTGCACCCTTCCCTGGTCCTTGCTAAGTCCACTGTGTTGATGGTTTTAAAGGAGAAAATATTCAGTGCGACCCCAGATACTTGCACATTTCTTGCTCCCCTCCCCTCCCCTCCCCATGACCCCCCCCTCTCCCTCTCCCCCTCTCCTCCCATAGTAATGTAAATATACTTGATTTTTTAATTTTTGAGAGTCTTCCTCATGTCTCTCTCCCTCCCTCCCCTCCCCCTGGCTTCCTCCCCACCTTGCTTGCACCCCCCCCCCCCCCCCAACTCCCTCTCCACATGCCCATGTCTCCCTCCCAGAAAATCCACTTTGCTTAACCTCCCTGTATGGCCTTGATCTAACAGAAACTACATATCTTCCACTAACCAAGAAAAGAACTTTTATTTTCCACTAATATATCATCTTTTAAACTTTATTATTGATATATTTTTTATTAGCACTGTTGTTCCCACCCGCCCTTTCGTCTACTTGCACCGCATTTACTCACACTGTTTGTATTTTTATTTATTATTATTTTTTTTTAATGCAGGCACTGAAAATGTATATTATTTTCGTGTGTGTTTTTTTTACTTTCTTTCTTTCTTTTTTATCTGTATATATGTCAACTAACACTGTATTTATAGGTGATTTTTTTTCTCTAGCCATGTTTTTGTTTCTTTGTTAAATTGTTATTCTGTTTCTTTTGGATTATGGAACAATTAGTGTGAATTTAGAAAAGAGACTTAATATATAAGTTTTTTTTTTTATATAGAAAAAGGTATGTGTGATATTGTTTTGAATAGAACAAGCAAGGAATCTTTCAATTGCAGCTTTGTTGTTCACTGTATACTCACAGAATTACCATGAAGAGAGGAAGGATTTAATTTGTAACTTCCTGAAGTGGTAACGCTGTGTTGGTAGTATGTACATTTAACAAAAAATAAAGATTGTGCTAAGGGAGTCTGATGCATTGGAAGATTTGGTTGTTGTTTGGCGAAATTTATATAAACCCTTAGAACAAGACTATAGTTATTTTTGTTGATACAATTATGATGAAGTGTTGAATGGTGTATAAAAATCTGCAAAAAATCTTTTCAAGGGGTGGTTCCACATTATAAAACTGTTAACTGCGCTTTAATGAATAAACCACCAGCTACGGTAGCTTGTTAAGGAATCCTTGATTATGTTTATTGTAAAATTGTGTTTTTATTATTAGTAATGATGCAGTTGCAGTCAGCTGAAGTTGGTCATCATGCAAGGGAGAGAAACACAAGTAATTTCTATATGTTATATTTGTGCTTTCTGCAGATTTTATTCTCTCTTGATTATAAAGAAGTTAATATTGATTGTTAGCAAATTATGAATAAGGAGAAATTGTTACAAAGGTAAGGAAAAAAGGCTGGTAGTAGGATACTGCTATGAGAAGGTTTTATGCTATGGAGACGGATTTGTGTTGATGGACATTTGTGGAATTATATTTTGTACCGAGTCCAGTTTATGCTTTTGATTGTGAAAAATTTACGAGAATTTCATCTTTGTGTAATTTTGCGTGTCCATTGAAAGTGGGTTATTTTCTACGGAAGTGTCGGTGAATATATATAATTTTGATAGAATAAGTGTTTTCTTTTTGAAGCACAAAACAAAATTACATGCACACTCATACACACCCCATAGAATAAAAAAATCTCTTTTATACAAAAACCCAAACACATTCATACAAAAGAGATGAAATTTGTGATATATAAATTACATTAAATTAACCCAGTGCTGGCGGGCATGACGTGTATGTATGTGCCATGCCCAATGTGAGATACTTGTTTAATTGTTTTTACACATAGATGGCTGCACTTGAACTAAGCCACCAATGAGCCAATTACGAGTACTGCCTGTCTCGCCCGTTTACCCTTTTCTTTGCTTTACAAATATATTTTACGTTATTTTATTTTGCTGTTACTAATGTTTATAACATTATGGTAATTATAATGTTTATGATAAAAAAAAGACCATCAATATTCATGGCACAAGTAAAAAATAAATCTTTCCCGCCAATTGAAATCAGGTGAGGTCACAAGGTCTACTAATTGACTCCTTTGTGGCTAAGCAGAGCCATCTATGTGCAAAATAATGAGCACAGCATTTTCCCCATTTTTTATTCATTTTCCCCGGCGGCATTGGGTTAATGGTACCTAGATGTCAAAGCTATGCATCCTGGGACTGCATAGTTACACAGACAGTCAGATGTGCACTTGTACTAGAATTGCATTGTGCATTTGCACATGTGCATGAAAGTGCACATCATTGTGCATGTATTACTTCTATTATAGGATTTCAAACAAATCATGTTCACATAAATGTGTCCACATGAATATCTATATATAGCATGCACCTTCTATGCATGTATATATGCATAAATGTGTGTGCAGACGTGTTGGTGTATGCCCAGACATGCATACCGAAACCCAGGTCCCCCTAGCCAGACTCAGTGCCTGTCTCTGCGCCATGGCAGCCACAGAGCCTTCTCTATTGGGTACATTATAACCACACTTCACTTGGCTTGGTATGTTTATATGGACTTTGAAATGTTCCTAATGGTGTTAGATATCGTTGAATAGCGATATTTCAGAAATTTACAAGTTGGTTGTGGACCCATATGTTATCGCTGACTTTTTTTAAATCAGGGTAAAGATGGTTTTGAGAGGTTGGTGAAAATAAAGTAAATGCAAAATACCCGGAATACCCTCATTGTATATCAAAACATTATCACCAAAATAGCAATTATCTAATGATTATCACGACTAGTCTGTCAACCTGTCCTCAGCGTCACCGACCAGTCGAAATGCATCTTCCAGGTGATTAAAAAAAAAAAAAAAAAAAAAAGGAAAGAAAAAAAAAGGAGTATAGGTTCCCCAGATAGCATGCTTAGGCCTGGCCCATGCATGCTGTCATGAGTCATGTTCTAGTAGGTCAGCAGAACCATGGCTTGATAGGCATGCATATACACACATTAGAAAAAAAACAAAAAAACATTCACATGGTAAAAGCATCGTGTGAACAAATATTAGTGGTTTAGTTGGAGCAAAAGTTCAAAGATATTTTATGTTATTAAAAATCGGCAGCTTTTAGAGATGATGGTTATTCAATACAGTACTGTTAATGTTAAAGGTTCTCCTATTGGCACTACTGCTTTATCATGAAGGTTATCTGTTTGGTTGTGTTCAGGTTATGACATTTTGTTACTCAGATATATATAATCTGATATTAATTAGCATTAGTGACAGTGTGTAATATATTCACATAATTCAGTAGATTTTTGTTTTCCATAAAAGTTTTTTTCTATAAAGTCAGCCAAATAAGTAAAAAAAAAAAAAAAAAAAAGAAGAAAAAGCAACATCCCATTTTTCAAAATCAAGATAAATGATGTTAAATCAATAGCAAAAGAGTGAAAACTTAATTCAAATGGATATAACATTTCTGTTTTGGGGGGTTATATATATATATATATATATATATATATATATATATATATATATATATATATATATATATATATATATATATATATATATTATATTTATATATATTTATATTTATATATATTTATATTTATATATATTTATATTTATATATATTTATATTTATATATATTTATATTTATATATATATATATATATATATATATATATATGTATATATATATATATATATATATATATATATATATATATATATATATATATATGTATATATTTATATATTTATATGTATATATATACACATATGCATATATACACATATGTATATATATATACACATATGCATATATACACATATGTATATATATATACATAGGTATACATATAGATATGTATAATTATATATAAATATTTCTTTGTATATATGTATACATAAATATATATGTATATATATATGTATATATAGATAAATGTTTGTATATAAGTATATATAGATATATATGTATATATATATGTATATATATATGTATATGTATTTATATATGTGCATGTATATATATTATATATGTATATATATATGTGTATAGGTATATATTTGTATAAGTATATGTGTATATGTATGCATATATAGGTATGTATATGTATATATAACTATGTATATGTATATATAACTATGTATATGTATATATAACTATGTATATGTATATATATGCATAATTATGTGTATAA